ACCCACTATCCATCTTTTATCTGACTGTCCCTAGGCAAAGTCTCTGGGTCCAATCTTCCAAGTTCTTTCTCCCATATCATTACAATCTCTAGCTTTCTGTGAGTCATTAGGATTTATATAGGTTCTATTAAATACGAACTTTCTTAAAGTTTATCATAATTTATTGAATTAACATTGTCCAATGTATAGATGCAATTTCAACAGATATGTTAATATTTAAAAATCCTATTAAGTCTCAAGGGTAAGATTAATGTTATTAAAATGAATATTACATTAAGATTAATGTATATCTTTAGAGGGCTTCCAAATTAATTCTTATTAGATATTTCACACAGATAGATAAGTTAATGAGATTTTTTAATGGCACCCTAAAGCTTTAGAATATTTTTGGCAACATTGTGGTTATCTTATGAGAATAGTGGATTTAGTTTGCCAGATGTTCAGTTATATCACTAGATTTTCATTTTAGTGTCTACATTTTTCCTGAATGAGGCTTATTATGGTTACTTTCCCCTTTGGACCATTTGGAGAACAAATATGTTACATTTTTGAAATTTTGGTAAGTTTTACTTATTCTTAACTTGGTTCTTCATTTCCTGCAATCTTCTTCTGCAATCTTAAATTGCATTAACAGAGGGATACAATCAAGATCAAGGGAGGTACTAATACCACTCTATAAAATCTTAGTAAGACCACACCTAGAGTACTGCATCCAGTTTTGTTCACCACATTATAAAAAAGATGTTGAGACTCTAGAAAAAGTACAGAGAAGAGCAACCAGGATGACTAGGGGACTGGAGGCTAAAACATACAACGAACGGTTGCAGGAACTGGGCTTGGCTAGTCTAGTAAAGAGAAAGATCAGGGGAGACATGATAGCAGTCTTCCAATATCTGAGGGGCTGCCACAGAGAGGAAGGGGTCAATCTATTTTCTAAAGTGCCTGTAGGTCAGACAAGGAATAATGGATGGAAACTGAACAAGGAGAGATTTAACCTGGAAATAAGGAGAAACTTTCTGACAGTGAGAACAATCAACCAATGGAACAGCTTGCCCTTGGAAGTTGTGGGAGCGCCATCAGTTGAGACTTTCAAGAAGAGATTGGACTGCCATTTGTCAGAAATGGTGTAGGGTCTCCCGCTTGGGTGGGAGGTTGCACTACATGACCTACAAGGTCCCTTCCAACTCTGATTATCTGTTATCTGTTATCCTATCAAATTTGGTATAACTATTTGCTTATGTGCTCTAAAGATCAGAAGATTGCCTATACATTGTGCTATGGTTTTAATGATAAGCCAAATGAATGAATGAATTCCACACAGGTATTTATACAGTATTTATTATATGTATATTTCTGTTGAACTTGCTTTGGAATGTTTTTTCCCCCCCACTCTGTTGGAAGAATTATCCTTCTGGGTTCAGTTCCAAGTGGGGAAGAAAGACACTGGAAACATGGTGACTGCTTGGAAATATGGCTTAATGGTGGACAGGATCACATGCCTTGGGTGAAGAAAGAAGGAAAAAGGCTGAGATGCTGAGAGTCCCTTAATTATATACTCTCTGTTTGGGCCCCACCTGTTCCTGTGCAAGAAATGTATCCCATTGGCTGACAGACTCCCACGGGCGGGCGTCTTAGCTAACTTTGTAGGCTTTGTCTGGACCGCCACATGGCTTCACCTGAATGCTGGCTGATGCAATCTTCCCAGCCAGGTGGTGAGATTGGCAGAGGCCTTTATTATGTAGAATACTCTGACCTAGGCCTTAATGGCCCACCCATTAACAAAGATGAGGGTGAGCTTCTGCTTCTGAGTTTCTACTCTTTTTAGGGGAAATATTCTGCCTTTTTAATATTTCCTAGGATATTTCTTTTTTTCTAGGAGAGGGGTGGGTTCTAACTTCCTACATCTCTATAATCACTAATTAATGTGGACTCTTCCTTGGTATTTCACTGCTTTAACAAGAACTACAAAAAGTTATCCATTTTGAAAGAAAAGGGAGAGAAATTTCTTCTGGGCATTTGATGTAATTCCATACATCCTCCAATCTGTTTCCATTTCCAGTGCTCTTTTATATCTTAGAAGGCTATGAGCAAATTATCCCAGCAATCCAAACTAAAACCCCAAAGAATTGTGAAGGGTGATATATTTCCAAAGAAGTTCTGGTTGAACAGTTTAGTCCAATGCTTTTGGTGTCTTGAGTTTTAAAGTTTTTTTTTTAAATAAGCTAAATCTATCCACCACAGGTTTGCACCAATCTCAGCACGAAGGCAGAGGGTGAGGGACTATATTGAACCTCACAGAAAATCTGATGTCTCCCAAGGGTGATATTTTATTTATTTATTTTATTTATTTATTTGATTTGCCAATTGTTTACAAGATAATAAGTATAAGTGTATACATAGTTGTGAATACATGAAATGGGTACATATAAGAAAAATAAAACAAGAATAAGAGAAACAATAGAACAGGGACGGTAGGCACGTTGGTGCGCTTATGCACGCCCCCTACAGACCTCTTAGGAAAGGGGTGAGGTCAATAGTAGACAGTCTAAGGTTAAAGTTTTTGGGGTTTGGGGAAGAAACTACAGAGTCGGGTAGAGCATTCCAGATACTCATGACACAAAGATATTCATGACACAAAGGGTTGTGGACTAGGAAGTTTGTCACCTCTCAATTGGAACTTTGCCTTTCCTGGCTCTTTTGAGAGATAGACGGATATCTGACTACATCAGAGAGCTCAGCAATACCTCTTTGGAAGGGCACATGGTATTGAAAGAAACAGTGATATATTTCTTCTTAAAGAGATTTTCCTTGGGTTTGACCCAGTAACCCCCAAAAGTGTATGCTATAGAAAGAGTGGTGGGTCTTCAGTTGCAAGTGCCATAGAAGAAGTGAATTACAACATCATTTTTATTCAAGTTTTAAGTGTGGGAATGGGATAAAAATAAGATGATTTCACCCTGATGCAGCAAAAATTGGATATAAGCCCTGTGCAGCTTTTTGCCCTGTTAATTTTCTCAGTAACATCAATATAACAGTATTACCCTGGACCCTTAGGCTACAGTGAATGGAGAATTTGGAAGGCTGGAGGTCCTGTTTTACATTAGATCTACTTCTGTCTATGCAGTTTCAGATATATGGGGGAATCTATCTGTAGATCATGCCAAAAAAGAGGGAGACAAGCTATTCTCCAAAGCACCTGAGGGCAGAAGAAAAAGCAATGGATGGAAACTAATCAATCTAGAACTAAGAAGAAATTTCCTGATACTTAGAACAATTAATTAGTGGAACTACTTGCCTCCAGAAGTTGTAAATGCTCAAACACTGGAAGTTTTTAAGAAGAGATTGGACAACCATTTGTCTGAAATGGTATAGGGTTTCTTGTCTGAGCAGGGGGTTGGACTAGAAGACCTCTAAGATCCCTTCCAACTATTCTGTTCTATTCTATTCTATTCTATCCCATCCCATCCCATCCCATCCCATTCCATTCCATTCCATTCCATTCCATTCCATTCCATTCCATTCTATTCTATTCTATTCTATTCTATTCTATTCTATTCTAATGCTGGGAACCATAGGGTTCTTTTCTTTCTCCCCAACTGTTTAACATTAACATGAAGCTGTTGACTGCAGGTGTATGTCCAGAAACCATCTAGAACATAAGCATTCCAATGATAGTTCTGGATGGAGTAGCACGCCATATGAAGAAGCAGTATCACTTGGGATACCCCTAGACTCATAACAATTGCTTGTAATGCAGACCATGGTTAATGGACAATTTATGTAATTTCAGCTGGTGTGGCAGTTGTGACCCTATTTGGAGGAGGCAGAAAGTGAGTGGCCACACAAATCAAATGAATGAATAAATAATATGCATATGATGTGCAAATCAGCTATGCTGTTAGAGATAAAACTGGATTCTTTCAACTCATTTAAAAGCCCATATGTTCTACATTCCCTCTAGGTGCAGTGCTGAATGTAAAAGACCATTGTTCTGATTTAATATAAGCCAACTTCCTAAATTCTATAAAAGTGCACAGACATATTTGACTTATACATGCTGAGTTCTGGATAAATTCAAATAGTTTTTCCAGTACTTTATCTTCATTATGGCTTCTACCCCCACTACTTGTGGCTCCTGGGTTCTTTTCTAATTCATTAAAAAACAACATCTAAAGTGTTTTCCCTCATAAATGTTTTAATCATTTAAAGAAATCCCTTAAGAGACCAAACCAATATTTCATCCAATATAATTCACTGTTTCTCATTCTGTCTGTCTCCCACGCATGCCATCTAATACATTAATATATAATTCATTATTTCACACTTGGAAAATAATAAATCAGACACCTCAACCCCATTCTTCAAAGGTAAAAAATAATAATTAAAAGCTATATTTGGTGTTTCTTACCCTGGTCTTAATTTTTGTATACTTCGTCAAAAATAAAGCTAATGTCAAAAGATGCAGAATGAATGTTTAATACAGTTTGGAGAGGCCAATCTGATCAATTAAAATGCAACAATTTTCCCTGCAGAGAAGAGTAGAATATGCTACTGGCCAATTAAAAACTGATCACTCCTAGTTTGCAATTGCCGGTCACTTAAGGTCTCAGCTCTTCCATAGAGGATGCAATATAATAGTTATTTATTATCTGAGAATGTATATCGTTTCAAGCAGAATATAATTAACACTGACTTGTTGAACTTTGATGAAAAATTGGCCTTATCATTTGCACGAGGTGTATAAAAAGGTTGGGGACCACTGATTTACACAAAGTTCCACTCATTGTTCAAAGCCAACACGAACCTTTTTAATTCTATACTTGAAGGAAAACTTTTGTCTACAGTTTTAATATTCTACCTATAGAATATAGAGCACTACTTGGTACTTTTTTACAGTCATTCCAATGAAAATAAGCTGACAAAGAGTAACCAGATTCTAATAAACCTGTAAATTTCATAGCCATGGGAATTATTCAAAATCCCACAACTATTTACTACATAATACTGGTTCAGTGAAAGCATCTGTTTAGAACATGGGTGTCAAACCTGCCATGTCACATTGCTATCTCATGACATATTGCAACATTTTCCCCTTCGTGCAGCTGGGGTTGACGTGGCCTGTGCATGATGCATCTGGTCCATGGGCTGCCAGTTCAACACCCTTGGTTTAGAAGAACCAGACATTGCTTCAAAGATGTTTACACTTCATCCTCTGTTTAGTGAAACTGATAGTACTACACCCCTTTGCTGGTTTCAGGAACAGAGGGTGAAGAGTATAAGGAGGAAGACAGTCAATAATTAGAGATGATTTTGAAAATGCCAAAGAGTCCATGGGCAATGGGGCCAAAACAGCAGGTCTAATAGTTAGGTGCACATGGAATGCTCTTGGATCAGTGTGTAATAGTAGCCTGAAGGAGGGGTGATACCAGAAAGGCTGTTGCTGGGCATCATGGAAAGGTCCTATTATAAGATAAAAATAATGAATGAAAGAGGAGTTAGAAAGACAAAATTATATAAAATATGTTCAATATGTACAATAATAATAAATAGAATTTTATTGCAGTTTTAAAAACAAGATAAAAACAATACAAACTGATATAAAGTAAGAAAAATAAATAAATAAAGTGAATTTTTTAATGGGAAGATTAGGTATCAAGGCTGCTGATATAAAATCATTATCTGCTGGCAGATTCCAATATTTAGATTGCATTAACCATAGTTTGTGTTGATGGACACCTATTCCCAACTGTGGCAAACCCTGGAAAAGGGAAAGATTAATTACTTCCATGCCACCCCCCAAAAATTTTTTTAGGAAGGAAACGAGGGAAATTGAATGTGTCCCTAAAATTTAACTACTGCTATATTGGCACAAGAAAATAGCACTTGGGATGTTCAAGGTATCTGATTTAAAGGATAGGCAAATGTTTTAGAGCACTGGACAATTTAGGAATTTTAAATATATATGGTACTATTACCCTTTAAAAACGACTGCATTAATTCTTCCTCAAATGGCTGTCATAATCAGGATGGCTTGTTACAAAATCACCACACAGTAACATATGAATTGTAATCTTCTGTCTGGGCAACTGAACTTATTTTCAAACAGCACTGGATTACAGCAATCCTCGTGTTTTTTGTCTAGGCATACTCGTTAGGTTATGTGGGACACAAGAGCATTCTTAAAAATAGGATTGGTGCCAGAAAATAGCAATTTACTTTGCAGGAGGTCAACTTCCTATTAATTTATTTATCATTAAACTTTGAAATTAAAGTTAAAGGTGAGTACACATACAATCTAGTAGGCACCCATAGAATCTACTAGTAGGCATGAAGCTGCCAGCCCATTCACATCTGGGTGGGTTGAAGTCAGGCCTGAATTAAATCCTGGTTCTCATGAGAAATTGACTCTGGGAAAATATTATTTAAAAATGGCAGATGAACTTTGGGGTTGGGTCGGATGGGGGGGTTTAAAACTAGTTGAAAAGGGGATAATGCTTTAGAACAGGGGTCCCCAACCACCGGTCCGCGGACCGGTACCAGTCCGTGGAACAAGTCCTACCGGGCCGCTGGTTTGCTGGGCGCCGCCATCTTTTTTTGATGAAAAAGTGCTTCCAGTGAGCTTTTCCGGGTAGAAAGCCTTTTCTACCCGGAAAAGCTCACCGGAAGCGCTGGCGCCGCCATCTTTTTTTGATGAAAAAGTGCTTCCGGTGAGCTTTCTACCCGGAAAAGCTCACCGGAAGCACTTTTTCATCAAAAAAAGATGGCGGCACCCAGCTAATGCCGGTACCGGGCCGCACCATAAAAAAGGTTGGGGATACCGGGCCGCGGCATAAGAAAGGTTGGGGATCACTGCTTTAGAACATCTTAGTGCTCATTACACTTTTTGAGAGGTTACAAAATAATATAGGTAAAGGTAAAGGTTCTCCTCGCACATATGTGCTAGTTATTTCCAGATCTAGAGGGCGGTGCTCATCTCTGATACAAAGCTGAAGAGCCAGCACTGTCCGAAGAAGTCTCTGTGGTCATGTGGCCGGCATGACTAAACGCCAAAGGCGCATGGAACACTGTGCTCCCTATTTTTCTACTTGCATTTTTTACATACTTTTGAACTGCTAGATTGGCAGAAGCTGGGACAAGTAATGGGAGCTCACTCCGCGCTAGGGATTCGAACTACCAAACTGCCAACCTTTCTGATCAACAAGCTCAGTGTCTTAGCCACTGAGCCACCACGTCCCTACAAAATAATATACCGTGGCTCAAATCTGAGAAAAGTCAGTCAGAATATTTGTAAATTTCTCAATTTGGATCTAATTCATAAGAAGTATTATTCAGTCTTCCTAGATATGAAAGTGGATGTTCAAAAGGGGTAGCTATCTAATTTCTATACATTATTACTCATATATTGGAGTAATAATAAATGTGAAGGCATAAATATGAACATTTATCATTTTAGCATTTTCACTTGTGGCTAAATATTGGTTTAATGTTCTTAATACAATTAAAGGTTTAATAAGAGAATAAATATCAAATTGAAAGGCACTAGTGGATTGTCACAAAGAGATTATAGTTTTTTTTTCCTTTAAAAGAGATTATAGTAGTATTCCTGTGGCTGATTTGAAAAAACACATTTGCCCTCATCTTTTGAACTGGCTGTCTATCAAACAATGAAATGACTAAAATGTTTGATTCAATATAGTTAAAGCTTTACTTTGTTGATTAAAATGGAATATTTCTTAAAATATATAATTGTTAGTTGACCTGCGGACTTGATGGACACACTTTAGGTTGAAAGTGACAAAGAAAGCACCACTCTGCTGTATTTGAGCCTTTGCTTTTTAGTCTTTATTTAATTCTTTAATTGTTCTTATATTTATAATTCTTTTTATATTTGTACTTTTATTACATGGTAAGCAACTCAGAGACATTATGAATATCAAAACAGCCAATGTGTAAAACCAATAAATAAAAAATAAATTGCCTTTGTATTGTAATTTCTTTTTCTATTTTTAAAAATTTGATTAGTACTTTCTGTCTAATTTTATGATTTTACATTTTTGCATTTTGTACTGTATATCTCTATTTGGTATTTTTGATAGTACATTTAGTTTCATTTCATGGAACTGTTTCTTTTTAAATTACAAATGCATAGAGAACCTGTCGGGCTCCGAGTTCACTTGGAGCCCATTAGCTCCAAATATGCCTTGCAGCAAGTCAGCTGGCCATGTCACCTTATCTCTGCTGCTGCTGGATCTGTACTTCTGCTTGTGTGCTGGCCAATGGCTTTTGAATGACTCAGCAAAGCTGAGAATGGATTCTGCAACAACTGTGGGAATGGACGATGGATTCTGAAACAACTGTGGGGCTGCTGGAAATGGCTCTTTTCATGTATTGATGTGGTGCATATTGTTAAAGGGGGTTGGGGCACATATAGATGGTAATTAAGCCTTAGGTTACAACATAGTGAAGGTGGCACCAGGTGGGGATCAGTCAGAGGTGGTATTCAGCAGGTTCTGACCAGTTCTGGAGAACTGGTAGCGGAAATTTTGAGTAGTTTGGAGAACCAGCAAATACCACCTCTGACTGGAGATTTTACGCTATCCTTCCCCTGCCACGCCCACCAAGCCACGCCCACAGAACCGGTAGTAAAAAAAATTCAGTCCCACCACTGGGATCAGTTAGTGAGGGTTGGAATAGGGTAGGGATGTAGACACGTTATAGGTTAATAGCATTTAGGGATAATGAGTTAGGCATAGCCAGAATTAGAACTGCATATAGGCCTGAGTGTGGTGAGGTGTGTTTCATGATAATGGTAATAAAAGGAAAGGGAGCAAATTCAAACCCAACTCTAACCTTGCCTGGCTTTTAGCCTTTCTTGTCAGAGAAGAGTATTTGTTGTTTGCTGAGCTAATGGATAAACCACCATGGTATGACAAAGAAGCTGGAGTTTGTATTCATTTCAGGACAAATCTTGAATACTCAAGGACTGGCTGAGAGAAACCCACACTTACCTTTGGTTTTGGAACCGAAACAAAGCCAGCTTCAGTCTGATGCTTCAGGCCTGCAAAAGTGCTAAATCGTTCACGTTTCCTCCACTTTGCTCGTTGATTCTGGAACCAAATCTATGTAAAAGAAAGAATCAAAATTTTAAAATTTGATTAATGACTACTAGTACTATTGCTGCTTCTATTTGTTAGGAGAAATGTTTACAGAAAGCAATACCTTCTGATTTGCCCTAAGATACCAGAAATATAAAAATAGGTATTTGACATTATCTGACAATTGGCTTATATTTTCAGTATTTTTATATTATATAATTTTTATATTTGTATATTAAACATACTGATACATCCAAACAAAACTTGGTGTTTTTGAATCCTGATTTCAAATTTTAATTGGAATTTGGAATTCTAACTTTATTCAGAATTCTGAGATTGAAATTAAAATATTTGGAGGAATAGGATTTGCCTGCCTCACTTCTGCCCTGCAGAACATTGTATCCTCCCCTGGTGAGAACACACCCATTCACCTGATCTTCCATAAGGGCCTGAAGACCTGGCCCTACTGGTTGGCCTGGAGCCCCAACAGGAATGCACCAGTCTGAAGGTGGCTATCGGATTAAGATAAGACTTTACCTCTCTCTGTGTACCTTATGCTTCCTTCCCCCTATTTTTCATTATTATTATTATTATTATTATTATTATTATTATTATTATTATTATTATTATTATTATTATTATTATTATTATTATTATTTTATTATTTTATTCATTAAACATGAAACTCAGTCAACTGAACATTCAAAAATGCATCATAAATACCATTGACTGGTGCTAAGGGTTGATAGGGGTTGCTGCCAGCATCCTAGGTATCAACCAAGATACAAGATTGTTCTACCATATACAAGCTGTTTTCTATCAGATCATTGAATATTAAATTTGCCAATTTTCTTGTAAAAAGTTTGAACATTGTTGGCAGACAAGTAGGCAGTGGACGATAGTTGCTTGGTTCTTTGCCTTTTTCTGGATCTTTCATTATCAAGTATGTTTGGCCAGCTGTTAACCATTTTTTGTTTGTTTCATTTTGAAGTATTTCAGCAAATTGAATGGCCATGAATTGATGGAGGCTGGTCAGGTGTTTTAGCCAGTATCCATGCAGTTCGTCCAGGCCAGGTGTGGTCCAGTTCTTGATTTTCTTTGCTTGTTTTGCAACCGTGTCAGTTGTTATTACAATATCTTCCATTTTTGTTTCGTGTTGTTTGTTGTTGAATATATTTGATCCAGGAGGCAGTTTTGTTGTATTCCATTGGGTTTTCCCACAGTTCTTTCTAAAAGTTCAAAGTTTTTTCTTTACATGGGTGAACATTAGTTTGGACTCTATTTTTATCAAGGGACTGGTAGAAGAGGTATTGGTTTCTTTTGAACTGAACATTTTCACGATATTGTTTTATTTGTCCTTTGTATCTTTCAATTTTCTTCGCTGTTGCTATTACATGTTGTTTTAGTTCTTCCATGATGTCCATTATTGTTTTTTTTTCTCCAGGTTGTATTTTTTTGTATAAACTATTTTTCAGCTTTTTGTTCTTTAGTTTTCCTTCTTTCAAGTACTTTAAATTGCTGACATCCCCTCTTAGGTTTTTTATTTTATTTTCAAGTCGAATTTTCCACTTTGGTGTTCCAGTGGATTTCTTTTTTGGCATTTTATAACCCAGTTCTGCAGTTATAATGGCAGCTGTGCTATACATTAGTTGGTTGGTTTCATATAGTGTGCTGGATGGGATGGAAGCTAAAATGTTGTTCACATCAATTAACAGATCTTTCACTCATTTGCTATGCACTTCATGAATGGTAGGTAGTCTTTTTCTTTCTATGCTTTCTTTGATGTGGTTTTCAATCTTTTCTTTCAGCATTTTTGCTAGATCACCTAGTTCTACACTTTCAAGTTGTTGCACAGGAAGATCTTCATCCTGTATGTTGGTTTCTTACACTGGTCGGTCAGTTTGCTCAGGTATTGAAGCAGTTTCTTCAGCTTGTTCATAATTACTTGTTTTCTTTTTAGCCAATATTTCTAGATGTTGCATTTCCACATCTATGAAAAGTTTATTATGGATGATGAAACATCTTTAATCCATTAATATTTGTTCAGTTTTGTCACTTTCTGGGTGTTTTTCCTTCCACAGTTGCATCATTCTTTTTTGAAATCCCTTGGCTGTTGGTTCTGCCTGGTAGTAATATTTGATGATTTCTCAATTTTCTTTGGTTGTCCAAGTTTTGCGCTTTTGTTCCAATTGCTTTGCAGTTGTACACCCTGGTTCCCTAGCAATAAAAACTGACCCTGTAGCCCCTTTTTCGACAGATGTCCAGGAGCCATAGCATCTGACATGGCCCTTGTTGACCCAGGCAATGACTGATCCAGTGTGGAATTTTGTTTATTTCTTGTCATCATTAGTAATGGTAGGTGCCTGGGTTGGTTCAAAGTGGCTAAGCCACTCCTGATCCAAAAATTGAAATCCCATAACCATAGGACCTGCACCAGATAGCTGAGTATCACTGTTACATGTTTCATCCATAACTGTTTAGTTTCGATGGCCAGGTCACAATATTTTGTGATTTTTTTCCAGTTCTTTTTCTTCGATTCTGGCATCTCCTGGTGCAGCGATGTCAATAAATTGTATGCTTTGGCCCTCGACAGCCATAATATTTGGCGTGTTGGGTTCCAAATGGTGATGTGTCTATATTCAAAAGGCCCCCAAGATCTTCACTGTCTCATTTTCAACAACTTTTTCCACTTTATGTTCCCATTACTTTTTGGAAACAGGTAGGGCATATTTTTTACACAATGACCAGTGGATTAATTTAGCAACATGATGATGATGATGATGATGATGATGATGATGATGATGATGATGATTTCTTTAATGAGATTCATAGCTGGTTGGTAGCTCAACAGCTCAAGTCCTAACCAAGGACCTAGGAACTGTTCAGGTAGTGTTGGATTATTATTATACACAAAAATGACAGTATACACAGCAAACGAGATAACTATGCTGGGTTTCATATCACAAATCACTAGTCAAACACTTCCCAAGTGTTTAGGACTGATGATGATGATGATGATGATGATTGTTGTTGTTGTTGTTGTTGTTGTTGTTGTTGTCTGTTTTAATATTTACTGGTTTTTAATTTTGTAAGTTGCCCATAGTTGCCTCTAGATGAGATGGGTAGCACACAAACCAAATAAATAAATACCTTTTAAATCAGAGCAAATTCACTTTTCCTGACATTTAATTCATCTGCTTATTTTATTCTTGAATTTTGTGTGTGAAGCTTAGATTGAATGCATATATACAGCTAAAAAGTATACAAAGATATGGTAAATATAATTAAACAATGGTGTTTAACAATCTACAACTTTCCTACATTTTATACAAGAATAGAAAAATACTACTATTGAAATGATACTTTGTTTTATCTGACCAAAAACCAAAAGATGTATTTTTAAAATCTGATTTAAGAACTTATAAATCAATAACTGTGTAATATGTTTTTTACTTTCCTTTGCTTTCAGTATCTGTAAAATTGGGATTGCTTTGGCATGTTAACAATTTTCTGAGGAAATTCTATGTGGTTAAATTTCCAAACTAATCTAAAAGTAGAAATCATTGTTATTTTATGAGGTTCATTGCTTTGCAGCTAAATGAAACCTCACTTCAAGGGAATGAATTCAGTTACAAATACACAGAAGTGGCAATTGTTTATTGGGAAATCAATTTTTGTTACAGAGAATTTACTTTTCAAGCTTCAATAGCAACAAAAATAGAGTTCTCTGATGTATGATAACTGGCTTGTATTTAATTTGTTGGCATTGCTTCATACAACTATCGTCAGAATCTTTCATAAACCAAAAACTTTTTTTTAGATTAGTAACAGGGAAAAATATATATTATGCTATAAAGTTTGTTGTAATCTGACTGGTACTTATCAGTTTTACACTTTTTGTTAATTTATCAATATTAAGAACTAATCAGCATCCAGCTGCATTTGTTCTACGTTAGAAGGAACTAGAAGTTACCTGGATTCTGGTTTCTGGAAGATTAATTTTGGCTGCCAGCTGGTTGCGGATGTTGATATCTGGATAGTGTGTAGCTTGAAAAATTCTCTCCAATTCCTTGAGCTGCTCTGCTGTGAATGTGGTCCTAATTCTACGCTTTATTTTCTTGTCATCTGTACAAAAAGGCACCACAGATTTTAAAAGAAAAACAATCCCTTAATACAGAGAGGAAATCTAAAGGATGCAGAAGAACCAGGTATATTTCAAGTATTTTTGGCAGATTTACTGTATCTGCCTCCCATTCTGTTTCAGAATGCCTGCACAAATCTTGAGAGTTTGGTTTTGTAGGTGAGACTGAGAGTTAAATCCAGGCCTCAGCAATGCTGCCATCAGGCCTAACCCATTGCATTATGATGAACGCAAAATGGTTTCTATGCCTGATCAATTGTTCATCAGAAACAAGTTATCATTCCTCTCTATTCTGGGTTGGTCAGACAGCAACCATAATATTGCTTCCAGATCTGGGTGCCATATTTTAGAAAGGACATTGGCAGACTAGAATCTGATCAGGGACCTGGATAAGAAAAAAAATTAGGAGAAGTGATTTGAGGCATTTTTTATGATTAATCTAAAGAAGACTGGTGAGGCCTAAGAGCTATCATCAATTACATGAAGGCTAACATGTAGAACATCTGCAGAACTATTTAAAGCTGTTATTTAGAGAAAGAAAGGTTTGAATTACAGGGAAGTAGACCAATTTCCAGTTCTAATTTCAAGATGGTCAGACTCCTTGACTGGTCCGGGCAGCTTACAAATAAAAAGAAAGACAAGTAGAATGGTGGTAATAGCTATCCAAACCAACAATAGGACCAACTCCTTTAGTACATTCCTCATTGGAAGTGTTGATGGCCATCTGTCAGAAATGTATTTCTGCACTAGGTAGAGAGTTGGGGAAGACAATCTCCAAAATTCTTTCCAAAGTATATATTCTATGCTTCTAGAAAGTCCATAAGATTGAAATCCAGCACAACTATAAATTGTAATCCACAAGTAGCTTTATTTGCCCTAATGTGTTTTGGAAAAGCCTATACTCCATAGAAAGTTTTTGGGGAAGTAGGCAGTGGGACAAATAGTATAGTTGGGGTTGTTCCTACTGTGACCTCACTGTATCTTTCACACATAGTCCTAGGATGGGGAGAAAAGTATGAATAAGGTTAACCCAAAATTATTGAATTGTCAGACACTTAACATTAAAAAAGCAGTTTTACTTGGTTCCATATATATTTATTTTATACTGTTTTAATTGTTTATATAATGTACATTGCCCAAGTTACTTATTGAAATGGCAGCTATAGAAATCAAAGACATAAATAAATTCAAGAAATGACATAAACCTCTGGAAGAAACCATGGACATTCTGGAAGACCAGTTCAGGGAAGCAGGCAGACCATGTAGATGGTCTACAACTTGTTACAAAAGAATGTATTTCATTTGTTTTCTAATGATGCTTAATATAAACTTTCCTTTTAATTATTTTGTCAGGTACACTTTCATAAATCTTTCATAGATCTATCTTCAGTTATCTGGTTACTAAGATGAAAAGTGGTATCTACAGTTATCATGTGTATATGTCTTTACAAAATAACAGGCTTCAAAACAAACAGGCTTGATATGATTTATTGTGATAATACAGAATTGAAGTTAATTGGTGATAACAATCTTTTCAGCATAGGATTCAATATATAATCAGTTGGGTAGAAAGAGGTACATCTGTCTTGATCTATGCTGTCATTACGATCTTAGCAAAGAATAAAGAGTCAGATTGATTGATTGAATGAATAAATACAGCACATTACTAGGAAGCTCCATCTCAAACCCTTGAACCTTTAATATATCACAGGACAAGTCATTAGATACTTATCCCTTGACAACTTCCAAGACCGTCAGTCATGCTGAGTCTTGCTAGCATTATGACAGCATTTAATAGTCCCCCCAATACTTCTAGCCATTGGACGGTCCTTAAGACCTGCCTTTTTACTGAGAGCTGGAATAGGATTGTCTAGGTATATAATATGGAAGGAGGGCAATAGAGGTGACTATGGGGGATTCTAAGGGTACAGAGTTTTGTTTAATTATCTTTTATTTATTATTTACTGATTTTGCTCTTTTATTATTGTTTGATGTATCAGTTTTACTGTATTTTTTAGAGATAGCCAGAATTAGGCAGAATTGAACGGCTATATAAATATTCTTTAAAAGAAAGGAAGGAAGGAAGAAAGAAGGAAAGAAAGAAGGAAGGAAAGAAAGACAGAAAGTGATGCAGTGATTAAGAACTGAGCAAATGTTCCTTGTGTACATATTAAAAGCAATAATCCTGAAGCTGTAATATTATTGAAATAAATTGTTTTAGAAGAAAAGTTTAATCTATATCATCTAACTGATATGCTTCTGTATTGTAGGAAGGAAAGACATTGTTAGGTATTCTTGTATGGGACCAATAGCAGGAATCCAAAAGAGAATTCATTGGGTTTTGGGTTTTTTTTTTTAGGAGATCTATAATGATGCAAATATGTTCACAGAGAACATCCAATTGCCAGTAGTTTTGTGCGGGGTAGGTATTGAAAAAGAGAGGGCTGCCCCCATCTGTCATGTTTACTATTAACCAAACACCACAAAAATTTATTTTATGTACCAGCTGCACCAGTGGTGGGATTCAATTTTTTTTGTTACGGGTTCTGTGGGCGTGGTTTGGTGGGTGTGGCAGGGGAAGGATACTGTAAAATTTCCAGTGAGAAGTGGCATTTACCGGTTCTCCAAACTACTCAAAATTTCCGCTACTGGTTCTCCAGAACTGGTCAGAACCTGCCGAATACCACCTCTGAGCTGCACTAATTCTGACTAATCAGTTTCAAGCAGCAATGCAGCCATATCATTTTAGATCAAAACTTTACAGAAATGTATGTCCTCAGTACAATTGCTTTATATGACAGATGGTAGAGGACAACAGTGGAAGAGGGCGCCATATGTATATATTTGACAATATGAACTAGTAGCCAAATTCAATGGATTTCTCTTATGTTCATGTGGCTTGTGTGTATGTGTGTGTTCTTGATCAGTGGGCTTGGAAGTTCTTTATTAGCACATGTATTGTTACATTTGCATTGAGCAAATTAGCAGATGCATTGGCACACATGCACTGAGACATTTCTGACCTATTGCCTCTTGTCACTATTCCCATCACTTTTGACAGGAATAGTGATAAGATTTCAGTGCCAAAGCTTTATCCTACTTGCACCACTTTTCAGCAGCAAAATGAAAAGCTTCAGTTTTCAGTGTACTCTGGGTGTCATGTTGTTGGAAGAAATATCCTTCTGGGTTCAGTTCCAAGTGGGAAAAAAGACACTGGAAACATGGAAGCCGCTTGGAAAAATGGTTTATTGATGAACAGGATGGGTTCCTGGGCAGAAAAGACACATAGAGTGGAGAGAGAGAGAGGGAGATTTATACCCTCTGTTGGGATTTGAATTTGAACTTGTATTCTGATTGGTTGTCAGACTCCCATGGGGCCATGAAGGGGCAACTCTGTAGATTGTCCTGAGTCCCGGGCTTGGTTGAGTCTTGCTGGATGATGATGTAATGAAAGGGCTTTGGGCAATTCCTATTATGACTCTTTGTTATGTAAAATAGCCTGGCCCAGGCATTAACAAAGGAGTGGTGGGGGGTGAGTTTCTGCCTCTCTGAGTTTCTACTTCTCTTTTAGGGGAAACATTCTGTCTTTTTTAGTATATCATAAAATATTTCATTTTTCTAGGAGGGGGTGGGTGGGTTTTAACTTCCAACAATGTAATTTCTTGATGCCACCTTGAGGGAATTTAGCCTTGATCTTTGGAATGGTTGTCTGGCATTCTGTCTTGAGAGGGAACTTTATGGGTGTTCAGATCGGGAAGAAAGAGAGGGAAGAATAGAGGTGTACTATACTCAGCGACCCTGGGTGGTGCTTCATATATGAGATATCTGCCTCCTATGTCCCCTGCAGCCATTTTTTAAAACAGGTTTTGTTGTTGTTCTTTTGAGATACTGTTGATTCTTGATTACTGCTTGGACAAGTTTCTGCAGTTTTATTGGCAAGATTTTTCAGATGTGGTTTGCCAATGCCTCCTTTCCAAGGCTATCCCTACCCCTACCCCTAATCCTAACCAAGGCTGAGAGAGAGTGACTGGCCCAAGGTCACCCAGTGGTCTTCATCCCTAACACGGAATTAGAATTTAGGGTCTTCTGATTTCTAGTCTAATGCCTTAATCACTACACAAAACTGGTTCTGAAAAGTGTAAGCAAGGATGAATCTGGTGTGGAAAATAGAAGGAAAACCTTTCTATTCTGCTCCATTCCTGGCTAATAAATTGGAGGACAGATCTGGATGCTAGCCAAGAATTTAATTAACTGCACAGAATATACTAATAGAAAGGCATGTTAGGAATTTAGAAATAATTTGCTTGGCTCACCAAAGCTAGAGAAGAGCAACAAAGATGGTTAGGGGATTGGAGGCTAAAACATATAAAGAACGGTTGCTGGAATTCGGTATGTCTAGTTTAATGAAAAGAAGGACTAGGGGTGACCTGATAGCGGTGTTCCAATATCTCAGGGGCTGCCACAAAGAAGAGGTAGTCAAGTTATTCTCCAAGGCATCTGAAGACAAGATGGAAACTAATCAAGGAGAGAAGCAACCTAGAACTAAGAAAAATTTTCCTGGAAGTTAGAACAATTAATCAGTGGGACAACTTTCCTCCAGAAGTTGCGAATGCTCCAGCACTGGAAGTTTTTAAGAAGAGATTGGACAACCATTTGTCTAAAATGATATAGAGTTTCCTACCTGAGCAGGGGGTTGGACTAGAAGACCCCCAAGGTCCCTCCCTACTCTTCTCTTCTCTTCCCTTCCCTTCCCTTCCCTTCCAGATTCCAACTTTATAACATAAGGATAGATTATTCCACCATCAAACATATCAAAGAACAGATTTGCCCCAAGAATAGTTAGCTTTCCCTGCTCTGCCATACCAATTTGTCTTCTTATAACCTCTCCTCATATATTTGATTCTACAAAACTTTTTCTCTATACAAGGTCACAGCAGCAACAACAATACAAGGAATTTGAGTACCTGTCCTGCTGAGCAGTTTT